CCCCCCCATCTGTGATGCGCTGCCCATAGTTCGAAGAGCCCATTTACGGCACCAAGAACACAGACTTTACCACCTTTGTGACTCCCGGAGCCATTCTAAGGTACTGATTCATCAGCGTGGCCTTCGGAAAAGGAAAATGCCAGCTGCGCTTTACTGCTTGACAAATGCCTGATGTGGGGCTCTGCTGTCTCCTCAGCATTACCTTCTACCTGGCAGTTGGGCTGACTGCCCTGTCCTTTGTGCTTGAGAGGAAGGAGGGTCTTCTCGACAGGTGCTGTGTAGCAGGTGAGAAATACCACTGCCTCTTATTGAAGAAATGCTGCCATCTGCTGGTGGGAATCTATATTGACAGGAGCATTACAACGTTTGTCAATTATTCAATCTCATAAAATCCCAACCCCATTAAGATGTCTGTGGTCTGCATCCTAAAGCTGTCCAGCTGTCCAGTCTCTGAGTGGTCAAAAGTCTTGTGATATCTAGGTGGTGGAACGATCCCTCCCGAGTCAGAATCTCTGAGTCCCCTCCACTCTTGATGAAAATGTAAAAAGTGGTGAATAATTAGTTTGTACATTTGTTGGGCAAACGCATAGTACAAATATGAGATATGGCAGTGTTATTTTAAGTGGTGTCCACTAGGGGGCAGTAGAACCACTTTCTTTTCTCTTTCGCTCACCCACATAAATTCTCAAATGCCTATTTAATCTTGCATAGATCTCGATGTTACATTGTGAAGACAAATGAAAGGGTACCACTGACATGAGATTAGAGCAAATTCGCATGTGAGGGTGGGGGTGTCTTCAGTGTTCCTGATTGGTCTTGTCTTGCAGGTGTGAGCTGCTTGGAGACCATGCTGGCCCACCTCTTCTCCCAGCTGTTCATCATCAGTGTCCAGATATCCCTGATGCTCCTCTTTATTTTCCTCGTCTTCAAGGTGTGTCTGGAAATGTCTGGGTGTGGGCACAGATTCACGCTCCAGCACGGGCTCTCGTGAACCCACACTCACGTGCTCACATACCCCCGGGGGTTCCCACCACGTCACGCAGACGCTGTGTCATCACATCCGTGCACCCCCCACCACCACTGCCCTGATTCGCTCATTAATTTATGACGGGCGGTAAACGAGTTGATTTTTCGCTCAGGAGAGGCAGAGATGAGAGAAAAACCATGTTCAGTTTGTTCTCTTGGCCTGAGTGCACAGGAGTGAATGTACCTGTACTGTCTGGGAGGGACTCTGATAACTCCCGTACCAAACATGGTGCCTGATGTGGGGCTGGTCACATGACCAGTTTGTTTTTGTTTTATGGCTTTTGAGGGTCATTGCTTTTTCACCTTTGGACCTTATGCACAGTGTTCACTGAGGTGCCCTGGATGTAAAAATGACGCCTTACTTTTGGTTTTGAATAAAATCATGAGGTGAGCAAAAATACGATGATATTTTAGTATTATTTAGAGTTTAGGGCTCCGGTGGGGGGTTTACATCAGGTTTGGCGGGGGGGGGGGGAGTGGTCGGCTGTGGAAACCCCCCTTCTGTGGCCTTAAACCCAGCTAAACATTAGTACAACCAGAGGGAGATTGGAGTGAGGGCTTCTGGGAACTCCTGCGAGGTCGTGGCTTCCGCGTGGGATGGATTCCTGCGGAGAGAGCAAACGAATGGCGATGCGGGGAATGAGAGGGTTACGGATCTGACACAGCCCGCTAGCGGGGGGGCTGACATTTATGGCTTGACGGAGACAGATAGACGGCACTGACATTTCACCGTAACTGACACCGCGGGGGAAAAAAACGAAGCATAACGGCACTCGATGGGAATTTGCGAGGGCCGTCAGGCACTGCTTCCAAATAGCTGCTCCGAGTTTGACAGTAACCAAGCAAAGGTAGAGTAATCGCCCTGACAACCGGCTGATTGCTGTGGCGACCGCTGGCCTGGCCTTTATTCTGCTCTATTTCTGTCGTGTGTTAGCTGAACCCTGCGAGGCTGCAGGCCACACCCCTCCCCGTGGTGGGCTGCATTATTTATGATCCCACCCCCCCACAACCACTCCCCTTCCTTTCCCTTCACCTGTATTAATGTTACGATGAGAGAGATCGGATGAACTCAAGCCAACAGAAGCGGTAGTCATTAAGATATTTGAGATTGTATCCAGGTAAAAAAAAGAAATATTGATACAATAAAACGGCAAATGAGTTTTGTCAAAAGCTGGGGCAGTCTGGTAACAAGCAGCCCGAAATTTACCACTGACCTGGGGGGGGGGTGGCCTTGGTATATTTTGCCACCAACAGGGGAGGGGCCTCCTTGGTATATTTTGCCGCTGACTGGGAGAGGGTATATTATATATTATAACAATCATGATCAACCAGTTCTCCACCAATGAAAAAAAGCATAACCTGCTTAATTATTTTCTGCGATCCTGCGATTGGCCTGGATACAGTCTGAGATCGATGGGCGGGTTGGACATCCCTGGTATATAGGGTCTATATCGCAGGGTTGGGGAAGAAAGACCGGCCCTCACAAGACCGGCCCTCACAAGACCGCCGCTCACAAGACCGCCGCTCACAAGACCGCCGCTCACAAGACCGCCCCACTAACCAAATCCCAAACTTCCCAATGGCCAGTCCACGCCTGGATGGAAGAATTATGATATTTGTAGCTGTGACCTTTACACACTTTTTTTGTGGCAGGTTCCCAATGAGGGTCCGCTGGTGCTGGTCATCGCATTGATAGTCCTGCAGGGTGTGACTGGTATCACCTTCGGCCTGGTCATCTCAGCAGCCATCGACGACGAACAGTCAGCCAATCAGGCTGCCCTGGGCGTCTTCTACCCTAACCTCATCATCAGTGGTGGGTTCCAGTGGCTAATGCTTTTGAGTAATGGTCATTTTGAGCAAGCCAGGAGGCACCTGGAAGGCCATGCAGGTTCAGAGCTTTCTGTTATGACTTGCTCTTCCACTTCTGTAGGTATCATCTGGCCTGTGGAGTGTATCCCATACCCTTTACGCTACCTGAGCCTGGTCCTGCCCCAGACCTATGCCTCTGAAGCCCTGCGCTGCATCATGTACAGAGGTGACCTTCTTTTCCAGCATAGTGCAGCACCACTGCCATGCGTAAGTCATTAGCACAGCTCCACATGGTGCATTGAAACAGAGGAAAGCCAGTACCCTCCAAAGAATATCCTGGGAAATGCTGCCCTCTAGTGAGCAGGAGGACTCCAAAAGCACTCGCTCGCAAAAGAAATGAATTTTTGTGAGTATGATTAATACAAACAGCCTCGCTGCGACTGGGAAGTGCTGGCCCAGCATGTTTAGGCTCTAAAGCTTCACCGGACTCGCTGTTATGAGAGCTGTTATTTTTGTTTACATGCATTACAGCTACTGTTGCTATTGTTGCTATCAGTTAACAACTTAACAAGGAGGTCAGTACCACGTTAGCACCAACCATGCTCTTTGGATATTTCTTTCCTCTGGCTGTCATCACACTGGGTTTTGTTATGCTTCCCCCCCCCCATCTTAATTATTGAACAGCCATCTTAATATTTAAGTCTTCGCTGTCAGCTGTGGTCCGTGTTCATTGGTACAGTATCCACCCCCCCCCCCCCCCCCCCGCTGCGCACACCTCGACCCTATTGGATATCTGGTGCATGGCCCCTGTTGTCACAACAACCGTGATGTCAGGAAACATTTTCTAAATGGCAGCTAGAAAGCTCAGGTGGCTGGACTCAGGTGAGCACGCGGTCGTGCCCCCCCCCCCTAACAGCCGCTTCCCCTGCCTCGTACATGGAGCCTAATTACGTCCAAAGGTCATTCTGCGTTATTGACGAGGCCATTCTGTGAACAAGATGTTCCGGTCACCTGTCAGTCAGATACTCAATCCTATGCTAGTATAGGTTCCTATGAATGAGATCTATAAGAAACAGGGAGCCAACGGCTGATATATCGCTAACTGTGGTGGTGAATGTATTTTAACGAGCTGGATTAGATTTCCATGATGTTCGTTGAGGTGTTTCATGGGGATTGTCACAGACAGCAGGGTTGCCATCTCACGCTGCTGGCGTGACACTCGCGCTTTCAGACTCTCACTGTCATGCAAGAAATCTTATGGCAAATCTGTATTATTCCAATATAAACCTAAAATTAGCTACATCAAATGCGTTGGGGTAGTTTACAAACTCTACAGACTATTTAACAGATAATAAACTCCTATATACATTTAAATGTGTGTACAGACTTGTCTCGAATTGTCAGCTCTGATGCAGGGTCTCTTCGTCTGGTTTTGTCATTCCACAGGGTGGGACCTGTCGCGGATGATGGTGTGGCGTGGCTTCGTGGTCACCTTGGGGTGGAACACCTTCTTCCTGGTCCTGGCCATGGTCATCCTCAAGCTGCGCACCTGAGGGGCGGGATTGGGGAACGTCATGCCGTCGTGGGCACGTTTGGTGTCGGGGAGTGTCGCTAGGCAAGGTGCAGGCTCCACAGAGTGGAACAGGCCTCACTGGCTAAACTTCTTGTTTGCCTGGTGGGGGGGGGGTATTTACCCCCCTCATTGCTTCTCCCTCCTCATGCCCACATTGGCTGGGACCGGTGCTGTGTGATTATTGACATATATTACCTCTGGACTTCCCTATCAGCCTTAAAAGGGTTGATTTTACAAAGGCTATTTTGGGTGTGAGGACTTGATTACTGTAGCTAATCACAGAAAAAAAATTACATATAGTATATGAGAGAGGCAGAGATATATATATTCCTTTTTCACTACATTTGTACATATTGTACTCTGGTGACACCCAAAGGTGAGAGAACCATCGTGTGATGGGTTGAAATAGTCTAATGACGTTAAAAATCTACCTTTTAGTTGCATATAAAACGGCATTGGACCCTGATGCCAGTTTTCTAATATGGTGCCAAGTAAAAACAGGACTGAACCGGACCAGGATTTTATTCATGTATTTGTGTCAGGAACCAAGACTGGGCCTTTAACCGCAAGACCATGACACAAGTAATGAGGCCGACCCTCGATGATTAGTTGCTGTATTGATTGACCTCATAATGCAGCATCCAAGTGCTTTGAGACAAAACCAGCAATAAACCCAATAAAAAAGCACAAATACCAGCTATATTTAAAATTATTACATAAATTAAAAGTGACCTAGCTAATAATTTCCTGGCGCTTACCACAGGCAAAAAGAGTCAGATGGATTTTTATTTTTTAAATTATAGGGCACAGCTAGCTGTAAAGATTTGACATATTACAAAGTGTAGACTACGAAGATAAATGTTTTTCATGTCATACTACACAAACCTCGGTTGAGAAGTACATTAATGGACATGCAAAACGGTGTTCTGTATGACGTTCCTCTTGTGTAGGCCGGCACAACAATTAGCCAATCAGGGGGCCTCACCATGGAAACGGTTGTAGGTGGGTCTCTGTGTCTGCAGCTTCCTTATATGGCGCAGGGCTGTGAAATGATGAAGGGAAAACAAACGTATGTGTCCTGGTGAGGCCAGATGATGGAAACATTACGTCTGTGACCACTGACCGCTAACAATGACTCCTCCCTTCCTCAAAAGACTGCTGCTGTGCCCGTCGGCTCCACTTATATTTGGCTGTCTTCACCAGTAGTAGAGCTGGAATTAGGGGTGGTGGAGGGCCCCCTCTGGTTGTTGGTGGTAATGCAGCATACCCATGCCTACTGCTTTCATCACAGAAAAATATAATGTTATGTTAATTACCTCACAAGAGCTCATTCTCTCAAGATTTCATGTCTGCTGAATTTCTTTGTGCCACTGAGGAATAAGAGGCCCTGACCATGTTTACAATTGGGCCATCGAGGCCGAAGGGAGCTTCTGATTGGTACCAGTCCAATGGTCCAAAGTTGAGACTTGCTTGTGTGTTTTCCAACATCTGGTATTTTTTTTAATGTATTTTTCTCTGAATTTTATTAAACATGACAAAGCAAATTGATTCTTCATCTGAACACTTTTTGGAGACACATCAGCTGACAAGTCTGAGGAAATATACGTAATTGTAAACCAAATGTATTTCGGGACGTTTGATGGGACGGGAATGTTATTAAACTGTCAAGACTGCTGGGGACTGATTTTTACCAACAGAGGGGTGGGGAACGGGATATCATAGTACCCAATCTGGACCTGGATCAGCGAGGACTTTCATCCTGTGTTGCAAATGACACGACACTGTAGTGTGTTGTGCCGCATGATACTTAACCTTATAACACTGCTGTTTTACCCCCCCTCTGTGTCCCGCCCCCTACATTATTTTGAGGAGAAAATAACAGATTTCCTCTGCATGGTGTCATGTTCTCTCTTCATGTTTTTACCCAGATGCCCATGCTAACATGGCACTGAGTTCCTGGAGACCAGGGATTTTGGGGGGGGGGGGGGGGGGTGAGCCCAGGGTCATTCCATGGTTCCGGTGGCCTTGGCGTGCTGTGTTCGCTGTAGCGGTGTTTTGTGTTTTGGGTCCCAGGCCACCTCCTCCAGTCTCCTCCCACCTCTTGTTCACTTTTGAAACAATAAATCTTTGTATGTAATGTTTGTGGGTCTCTCATTTCCTTCAGTTTTTATTCCTGATTTTTATTCCTGACTGTATTTGCTGTGAAGCTTTTAAAACTGCAATTTCATGACTACTCTTTGCATATAAATACTAAAGAAATATAAAAACAATACACATTAAAGATGCTAATAAACTGCAGCTCCATAACACTGGCTCCCCAGCCACTTGCTGCCCCTCATCCCCTCAACCACCACTTTTGTGTCCTATTAGCATTTCAAAACAGCCCTCATATCCTGACCCCTCCTTCACTTTTGATATGGTCCCGCCCCCCCCCCAGGCAGTGGAGATTTTCCCCTGTGGGACGAGTCTGCAGCCACGCTAATTAAACATTATTTAATTTAGTTGTAAAGCCCATGACATAGGTTACATTTACTCGTAATGGGATATATATTTCTCAGAATGCTATGCCGTCATTAATTTTCCATCACCATTCATCATCATTTCATTACCTCTATAACTGCTTCCGCTCACTGTGAAAGTGAGTTTGCTTTTTTTTAAATTTTTTTATTAGTACCTATCATGGGTGTAGCTAGATGTTCTGGGTCCCCTAACCCAAGGTTTCTCAACCCAGTCCTCGGGGACCACCAGACGGTCCATGTTTTTGCTCTCTCCCAATTGGCAGGGAATTGGGAGAGAGCAAAAACATGGACCGTCTGGTGGTCCCCGAGGACCGGGTTGAGAAACCCTGCCCTAACTGTCATTATGTGTAAACACAAAAAGAGAAATTGTAACAGAAAAGACCAGTAATACATTTGTCTTTTAAGACTTATGGCATAAATTTAATTTAGGGCCCCTTCTGGTCCACCCCCCGCTCCCCACCCACGGGGCTGCCCATCTCCCTTGGTCACAGACATGAGTCGTACTTTTTTGGTCACAAACACATTTTACCACCAAATCGACTGTCACCTCCCTTCCCCCATATACTGGTGTGAAGCTCGCGGCAGTTTTGGTCCACACCCAACTTGCCAGGTGACACGACCTGCGTCACAATGTCCTGCACGAGTCATGAGGGTGTCTTATCGTCACCGTTTGCCAGTGAGCGTGTCACTTAATATGTGCTCGGACCTGTGGTGCTAATCCTCAGACAGAATGGGTCACCAGTGGGACCACTGCCGTACTGCTGTACTGGTGCCAGCAGAATCTGTGTAGCTGCTGTCTGGTCCACACAACCCAAGAAAAATAAATCGGAGGAGTGTCTGGAACCTGCTAAAGGAAACGATACAGTTTTCCTGTCCCATGCATCTACAACAAGGATGCAGGGCAATTAATCCAGCTGAGGAATCTACTGCAACTAGCCTGAAAGCCACCAAAGTTACACTTTTCATGCTTATCTAGCATGCACTCTCTCTCTCTCTCTCTCTCTCTCTCTCTCACACACACACACACACATACACACCTTTCAATTCATATCTTTGTGGGAACTCTCCATTCATTTCTATGGGGAAGACTAATCAGCAGTGACAACCTTAACCCCTAACCCAGCCCTAACCTTGACCACAAGTAACCAAATAAAATGCAAGACACTTTGGCACTTTAAGTTTTTTGATTGCATTGCATTCTATAAAATTGAGTTTCCCCTTGTGGGAACCAAAAAATGTCCCCACAAGGTCAAAATAACAGGTTTTTATTATATTGTGGGGACATTTGGTCCCCACAATGTAATATATACATAACTGACAGACACACGCACACGTGTGCACACATGCATGCCAGCAGTATTCATGCATAAAAAACCCAGCCGTCCGCTTTCTCCGTTCCCAACGAGTTTGTGATATTTCAAACATTCTGTAAACACGTCTGTGTACATGGTTACTGTTGCCACGGTTCCCCAACAACAGCAGCAAGGCTGGCCTCCAAACACTCGACTGTTGGCGAATGTAGTATTTGGTTTAGCATGAAAGCAACATTTGTTTTTTTTTTTTTTTTTTGCTGCAGTCCTGTTGCACCCAGACTGACCTCGCAAAGCCCTTTACGCTTTTGCCCTCTGCCAGCCCACTTGTGCTGCCTAACTCACCAAGGTGGCTGTTGCTATGTTATTTTATGTTTAATCAACAACAACACACTTGCATACATTATGTCTCTATGAAAATAATCCTTTGCAAGGCTAAAGATACCTACTACCCTCACAGAACATGAGACACTGGTGACTAGGTAGGCCTCATTTTTGGTGCAGAATCAAGAAAATGAGAGAACTCTGATGAATCCGTTCATCATGCACATAACAAATGCAAGACTTTGACTTGACTTTGACTTTTGACTTTTGACTTTGACTTGACTTTGACTTCATGCTTGTTTTTATTAAAGTTCAGCATAAATGAGGGACAGAATCTAATTCGTTTAAATGATTGGATCTGTCAGTGCTTGTATGTCAGATGTAACTTCAACTATTCAACTAAATTGGAGACAAAACGCATTTGCCATCCATCAATCATCGCGACCATACTTTCTTTGACGAGGTTGGGGAGGGGGGGGGGGGATTTTTCCTCCTCTGGAACTCCTAGGTGAGAATGTTGGCAAAGTACGGTGAAGGCGCTGGAACTTTGTGACCATGGCAACAGGCACAAGACAACTATTTGGGTGCCAAGGAAGATTACGAAGCGAGGGTGAGGCACTCTGTGGAGAGGCAGCGTGATACAGCAGGTTCTACGGCCGTAAATGTGTGTGTGCGTGTATATGTGTGTGTGTGTGTGTGTGTGTGTGTGAGTGAAGGTATGCTGGATAATGGGTCATTGCTGGCACAAGATTGGAAAGTCTCAAACTCAAGTACAAACTTTTATTTGATATGATAACGTCTCCCCAGAAACAAAAAATAACAGTGCAAGGAATTAAGCACCAGACCCTGCAGCTGATCTTTAAAACACAAAGCTGCTTCACATCGAGCTGCCTGGTGTTACAGACCCCCAATTTAAACTTTTTCTTTCCTATGGGAGTTTCAGTAAGCCAGCTTCAAGCATCTCTGCTACGTTCTGGTTAAGTCTGTCATGTAATTAGAATTAAGTGGTCATTGTTGACAAACCACAGCACACAACAACGAAATGTGTCCTCTGCATTTAACCCATATGCAACTTTGTGACATAGCAGGGGGTAGCTAATTCAGGGCCTGGGGAGCAGTGCTTGGGGGCGGTACCTTGCTCAGGGTACCTCAGTGGTGCCTTGCTAGTCAGGGATTCGAACTTGCCATCTTTCAATTATAAGTGCACTTCCCTAACCATCAAGCCACCACTGCCGAATGCTGATCATAATTTCATTATTAGCCTAATTTCTCTTGTCTCCTCCATTCAGCGCAATTTCCCTAGTGTGTGGCAAAACACAATACAGTGGTGTGGCCCTCATTTCGTCTTATATTTAATTATTGTAAATTTGTGTGATGGGGTGCTTGTCTGGGAAAACAAACACACGGCACCGAAACAGCCCTTTTTTGCAGAAATCAAATTGATGGAGCCCAGCTGAGGGCAGAATTACATTATAATCAGCAGAAAAACAGCTGTGGATCAGGAGGGGTTTACAGTGTCCCAGGACTCCGGGTGGCCTCTGGCCTCGCAAACCCCAGACAGAAGGTTTGCTCATGGGGAGCAACAGCCAGTGGGCAGGAGTGCGGGGGCATCAGCATTGCTTTGAGGTGGACAATCTGGTGGCAACGATCCTTAGGTGCACAAGCAAGATTCGTGACCCATCATTAGCTGGACCCCCTCTCACTCGAGAGTATCTGTGAAGAAGGACTAGGGGAAAGTCTTTTTTCTCTGGGGCTATTCAGGCAGCCCCCCCCCCAAGATACTGATCGGCTGAGGAGACAAGTGACCGATGTGCCGTTGGCAGGTGCAGAAATAAAAGCGCATGTTCTTTCTTGTTGAGCGTGTCGGCGTCAGCGCCGCGTGCACACAGCCATCTGTCCGCCTGCTCGGAAATATCACGGCCTACTTTACCGGAACTTTTTATTCATACGGTGAAGCGGAGCTTCTACGACTCAGATAACTGCGCGTTTAACAATGTTTATTATTTATTTTAACAAACGAATGTTAACAGAGTTTCCCTTGATGCCTTTCTCTAAGGATCATGTGGACATACTTCGGAACCCACAAAGTATATTTAAAAGATTAGTCCGGTATGGGGAAGGTGAAAATCCAAAAAGAAAACATGATTACCCTGTTTGTCAAAGCATAAACCAAGATGTAATCCTCCACTTTGACTTTAAGGTTTCTGATCCGTGTAAGGAGAAGGTTACCGTAATATTGAGTACAATTCTCCCTAAATTTGAAATAGAGTGAAAGATCCCAGTGTTTTCAATAGCGTGTATCGTTCATTTTCGCGTCAGTCTCAATCACATGGGTATAACCCTGACCTCCCTTCTGTCCCCAGGGAAACATGTACATCTGGTCTTAATATGTGAAACAAAAAGAAAACTATGAAAAAACAGTGTGTGTTTTCTATTTTTCTTTTTTTTGATGAACACTAAACTCTTTGAATTTACAGTTATATAGTCATCCACTGTAGGAATGCACCAGCGCCTCACAAGAAAACATCTTCCAAAGGATTTAATATTGATGCGTAAAAACAAGATCTGTTCTCGTTTGAAACGGACATAAATCTCCTGACAAAGTAGATTTTTTACGAGCTTTCACTATAAGTATTTTGTACATCGACAAGAGCAAAATTAAACTCACACTAACCCTTCATTATAGTGAGAAAGCAGTATGTATATTGTATGCAGTGTTCATGCTACTTTTTACTATGATACTGAATAGCTGAGCAAAAAAGTTTTACTTGCAATGCAGTCAGAGTTGATTCAGAATTACAACGAAAGAACTGTATGGATATGAGGACTGACTCACGGG